GGGATGAGGAGAACAAGACCAAGCGCAATAGCGATACCATGTCCAAGTTTCTCGCCTCTCTTTAGGAAAAAGGCCTTGACCGTCTTTCCGAAGACTGCGGATCCGGCGGACGTATCTTCCAGCTCATCTTCGGTATCACTGTCGCCAAGAACACGAACAGATCCAATGCCCGCAGTGTCATCGTCATCTAGCTCGATCCCGTTGAAGTCCTCGTCGTTCATATCGGCAAAGTCAATGGCAAGGCTGTTCCCGTTTGCACGGGACCTCCCAATCCAGTCGATGAGTTCAGTCGTGAATACTGTGATTGGCAAGCATCGTTTGCGGTTGAGAAATCACCCACCGCCCTTCCTGGATCGTCCGATTGATACCGCAATACTCTTGAAGTAGCTCACGCAGTTCATCACAATGGTTCTCCAACATGTTAAGGCCGGACTCGTACTTCTCCAAATGAATCTTCGTCTGACAGTAGTAGAAGGAGAGCTTGTCCATCGCAAGGGCGTTAGTATCACAAAGGCGAAGCAGACGCAAAGGACAATACATGGCCTTGTTGATACAGTGGATGATAGGGAAGAAATCAACGTGTCCCAAGATATCCGTCATCAGCTTCGGTGGACGGTCCGACCCCTTGAGGCGTTGGAAGTCGCTATCGGCAAACAAAGATTTGAAGACATGCTTGTGGCGGGAAAGACGAAGTAGCGCGATAAAGAATCCCCCCATACGAGTCTCGGCATAGCAAATCAATCCAACCTTGTTTCCACCGTGGTATTTGCGGGAATGAGTCATGAACATGGCGTACATCTTGTGGTGTGTGCCGCTTCCGAACCACTTGTACACGCCACGGTAAAATTTGATGAGCATCTTTCCAATGTCCGTCTTGGCTACATCCGAAAAGAAAAGAGAGATAGCATGCTCGGCACCGTGGAGGCAAGTCATCCTCGGATACTTCTTGCATAGGATCTTGCCGGCCTTCTGGACGTTGGAGGCGCCATCCATGACGACAGCATAGACGGTGCCTTTCTCCTCGGGATCCATCGCCATGATGTGTTTGTCCATCGCATCGGCAATATACTGACCATCCTTCTTACCGCCCTTGGCCAAGTGTTCCGTACAATCCTTGATCTCCAAGACGACAGAGTGGTTGTGGATGCCGGAACCAATGATATTCATCAGCGACATCCTCTTGACCGTAGCACCATCGCCGTAGATCGTGTTGCCAAAGATTTCACTGTCCTTGGTGAGAGTATCCATTGCTTCATTGTAGTGGCGGTCATACAGGATCTTCAGGTTCTGGTTGGCGCAAGTCCTGGCGCTGGGTGGCTTGTAGCTGTTGGGCAGCGACTTGGCCAATTTGATCGCAAGATGAAGGTTCGGATCATCCAAAAGTCCAAGCGCGTAGCCACCTTCTGCCACCAAAGCGCACAACTGAGTATCCATCTCCAAAGCGCCACGGTGACTAGGTGGCTCTGCAGTCAAATACAACTGGATACCGCTACCCTTGACGTGCTTCACCATTTGACCAGAGCTTCCAGAAGACTCCTTGCGCAAAGCCCTGGCCCGATGACCTTTGCTCTTTTCCACCATCGCATCAACAGTGCCGTCTAGCTTTGATTTCGCACTCGCAGCATACAAGTTTGCCAGCTTGTCCTTCTTCTCACGCTTGACCTTGAGCTCTTCCCAGCAAGTCTTGTACAACACCTTCTGCTGGGGACGGTGAACGGCAGGGCAAACCTTGATGTCGTGTCCAGCCCTCTTGGCCAAGTGGGCCTTGACCTTGGTGGCATTCCATCCGGAGAACAACTGGTTGCAGTGCAAACACTTCCAGCAACGCTTGGTCCTACCTTCAGATTTGTTCACCTCCTGTTTGAGGACGAAATCATCAGTCCAGATGTCGTAGCCACCACGGGAAGCAGCGGGGTCTTGACTAGACGCCCTGGTGCCAGAGCCGCCGCTTGAAGGTGTACTGTCACCACTGTTCCTGTTGCGAGCAGTGGGTAGGGAGCGACCACGGGAAACTGGTGTTGCAGTTGGATTCGTTTCAGGATCCTCCATGAAAATCTCCAACTCGTGCACTACCTTTTCACTGGGGCGAGTGCTAGACCTGCCACGGGAGGCGGCTGCAGCTGCAGGAGGTGGCTTCTTGCGGGCTGGCATCTTGCGAGGCTCTTCTTCTTCTTCTTCTTCATCGTCCGAGGAGTAAACAGGAGGAGCCTTAGCCTTCTTGCGAGCAGCTGGCTTGCGAGGAGGAGCTTCGTCTTCCTCTTCCGAAGAAGAATGATCCTCCCTTGGTAGAAGTGGGGGCGGTTCTACTCCTGCACGGAAAGGAGAACCACGGGAAAGGCCTGAGGCACTTCGCTGATTGAACATGGTTGGATCTGTACGTGTTGGTGTTGGTAGTGTTGTTGTTGTCGATTGCGACAAGGGGCTTAAAAATCCAGCAATGGGACCAAAACGAATGAAGGAAGCACTCATTCAATTTTGTGAGAGATGAGGGCTGAGGGCTGCTGAGCGAGAGTTGCGAAACTGTGGCTGGGGCTTGGACGCGGAGCGTCGGACATGGTCGACGTTGGTTGGCTTTGTGGAAGCCACGAAATCCAATGAAATCCAATAAGAAACCAATCAACGTCGAACACATGCGTATCGCATATCCATGGCACCGGCAGAGAGAGCCGGAGACGCCTATCATCATTGTGTCATCCAAAAGGTAGAGCAAGCAAGGGAAAAAGGACCGGTAATCTCATCTTGATGGCAGTTGTCGATCGATCGATCGAACGGAGTGAGTTTACGTTGTGGCTGAAAGCCAATGAATGTGGGTTACGAGCGAGCCTCCTGTGTTAAGCAACCATAACGCTGTGGTGCGTCAGACAATTCTTTTGCCAGGTTGCAGCGAATACCATCTGGCGTCAGAATTGCACGAAAAGCCTCAGCGATGTGGAACAGGCTAGCGATCCAACGGTACTGGAATTCCGGAGTAATCCTCCGTAATCCTAGGAATTCCTGCCGGAATCGTGCATGCCCTTAATTCCGGCGACCTATTACGGTACTCCGTAACTGCCCTTCCATGGAATTCCGTAAAACGACCGTAAGGAGCTCGGAATCCGGAATTCCGGCAGTAAATACCGACCAAGCTTGGGTCTTGGGCCTTCAGCCAAAAGAAGGACATTGCGGTTGCAGTTCTAGGTTGGCGCGCAGAATGGATGTGTTGAAATTGGGGGAAACAACTTTGCACGTCTGTGATACTAGCTAGCCTGTTTCGAAAATTTCTATTCAGTGAAGTGGAAAGAAACCCTCCCCCTGCGGGGGAGGGGAAGTTGAAAGAGAGGAAGAGAGGAGGAGGTTCTTAGCTTCAGATGTCATGTCAACTGTAGCTTCCTCTAGTTTTTATATAGCTCTGGTTTCCTCAAGTTTGCGCATGTTGCTATGGTGTGGGTTGACATCTGTGCCACCGGTATCTTCTTCGGGTTTAATTGATTACCTTTGAATTTTGAATTGGTGCATTGGTGATACACTTGATTTTGTGAGTGTGGATGTGAATGACAGTCTTGTAGGCAACAACCAGGTTTGCCACCAGTGCATTATTGTGAAGTTTGTTTGTTGGTTGGTTGTTGTTCTCAGCTCCGGGTTTCATTTGAGTCCATTCAGGCAGTTTAAGTCTTTGCATTCCTTTCGCTCAAAGATAGACACCTCCGTTGTGGTCTTCAACGGGCAATTCCTTGGATCTGTACAAAGCACCAATGTGGATCTGTAAAAGCACGAACGTAGAGATCCTCCCCAGAGTCGTATTGACCGTTGTTGCCATGTCCACAAACTGGACTCTTTCATTCGGTCAATCACGGCGACACTCCTGTCACCCCTGTGAATTGTTGTTATTCACCAGATAGCTCTCTCGATGTGGTCAACATGGGAAATTCATTCGATTTGTCAGAACACGAAAAATTCTAGATGCTTCTCCTTTGGTGGCATCAGATTGACTTTGCGGTGTCCCGACTATATTTAGCCATAGCAAAGTATCATTTATTATCATGTCTGTTGCTATTTGTTTTGTGTTCGAAGCTTTGGATACAACAGACGAGACGAAGTTTGTTGGGGTTTGTTGTTGGGTTGTTGGGGCCACAGCAATGGATCCAGCTTTGGCATCCCCAGCCTATGAAAACATTCCACCTGGAAGCTGCTGACTCAACATAAAACGTCCGAGCTACGCCATTTTGTACAGTGGCTCAGTACGTGGCAACCCGATCCACTACAGTCAACATTCAGATATATATACAGGGGGGGATTCAGGAATCCAGTAAATATAACAGTGTGTCTAAATATAGAGCGTTACTGCTACTAACCACTAGTAAAGAACGAGTGGAGAGTGCCATCACGTTTGCGTTTGCCAGCCCTTGTCGCCCTGGCCATATTCAAGGCTCTGGCAAACCTATCTACATCGTTCTTTGAACCTGCTTTCGGTCCCCTCTTCGCTCCTTTCTTCTTCGTTTCGGTTGAATCGGCGCCGTTCATGTTGGCGCCGTTCATGTTGGTCTAGGTCGGATTGGAGGAATTGTTATGGTTTGCTTGCACTTGTTTTGTTGCTCAGAGAATTGTTTTTGTCTCCGCTCTGCCATTCTGCGCAAATCTCGCGAAAACACCATGAAAAAACCCACGAACGAAGATTTGCGCGGACTGGCAGAGAATGGACAGGCAAGCGAACTCCCATCGGCACCTCATCGGCATGCATTGGCATGCATTGGCATTTACACGTATGTCTCTGTTGAATTGGACCGTTTGCGATGGATTGCGAGAGATTGTTTTGCTGCTACGAGATTTGCGAAGGGTGTACTGACGTCATTCACGGTCACTCGTGACTGGGGGGGGAACTCGAGATATAATAAATATTATAGAGCGAATAAATATAAGATTATAAAAATAAGCGAGCGTTAACTGTACCCCATGCATGGTGTAAAAAGAATACTGGAGATTTCCCACTTCACGGGTTCGAAATTGCGTGTTTCGTAGTACTGTACAGTCGTACGCTGTATCCACTCACTTATGCGCTCGCAATACTAGCACCGTACTGGTGGTACCACCGGTTCTCGCACCAGTACTGAACTGGCAGCACCATACCAGCATCCTCACAACCATCACCAACTTGTGTGCCATTCAGCTGTGCCGACATCACAGAGTCCATTGAAAACTCACAAGGCTCCGTGGAGCCCTACAGTAGGGTATCACTGCAATGAACAATACCGAAAACGAAGCCAACATCACACAAAGAACTGATGAAACAGATGACATCATTACTGTGTACAAATCAGAAGAGCAGGCCAAACTGTTTGCCATTCTTCCAAAGCCATTTGCACTGCTTTCCATTTTTTGTTCATATGTCATGATTCGAGAAATTGTTGCTGAGCACCGATTAAAGAAAGGTCGGCCGGTTTTGCGAATGCTACTTGCCATGGCAGTAGCAGACATCTTCTACAGCTTCGCCTACTTCCTCGGCACCTGGCCCGCACCTCCAGATGTAGAGCACAACATGTATGGAAATGTTGGCTCTCAGGGTTTCTGTACCTTTCAAGGCTTTATCATGTCATTGGGAATTCAGGCCTCGGTCCTTTCGAATGCAGCTCTATCAATCTACTATCTGAATATAATTATCTACAGGAAGACAGACAGAGATTTAGAGAAAACGGAGATTTATCTCCAATCACTCATTTGGATTCTAGCTTTCGTGCTCGCAATCTACCCGATTCCATTGGAACTCTACAATCCTGAAACAGATCTCTGCACCCTTCAGTCAGCGCCGCGAGATTGCTCTGGAGAGGACTGCATTCGAGGGTCTGACCCTTTGATTCATCTCATCATCGCTATGGCACCACCGTTGGTCTGCCTATTGGTGAGTATGAGCATCATGGTAGTCATTACCATGAATGTAAGGAAATTGGAGAACAAAAGCCGGAAGTATGGAGCAAGTAGCATTATGATCCAACCACCACCATTCAGTGCTGAAGGTATGGCTCCAAGAGGCAGTGCTGAAAGCATGGTCCCGCATGGCAGTGCCCGAGCCAGCATGAACAGTGGTGATGTGTCTGATTTCTTCATGGGTGATGTTCCCAGGAGTCGTGTGGCAGTGCGGCGTACACTAGTTGAAGTGGACCGACACAAGTCACAAGCAGGTAAGTTGAAACCCTCCTGGAGACCCTTGTTTGGTTGTTTGTGATATTTCGATTTGCCCTTCTAACACAATCTGCTCCAGCGGCCATGCAAGCTATCTGCTACGCTATTGCTTTTCTAATGACCTACCTGTTGTCCTACATCTCAGTGATTAAATACCTTACAACTGGAACCTGGAATGTGATTTTGGATAACTTTGCATTTTCTGTCTTTCAACCTTCTGCTGGGACTTTTAACTACATCGTCTTTGCTCGGGTGAGGATGATGAAGACCCCTGAAGGGAAGCTATTGAAAACCTTTTTTTGCTGTACCTGCTTGCAAAAGGATCAGGAGACTGCTCGTGACAGTACCAGCCAAAGCAAATCGAGAAAAACTACTCAACAACAGCAACAACAACAACCGAATGCAATGCCTGGGGAAAGTGATTCTCGAAATCAAGTGGAGTTTCGGCAGGCCTCAAGTGACCAGGCTGCATCAGGTTCCTATGATGAAGGACTAGTTGAATAGGTTGAAGGGATTCCTGTGATCCAATTGAGTGTGTCCCAACTATCGCCACCATCAACGACAATTCACGCCAAATGACCTGTTCCGGCTACAAAAGTTGTTTCTATGGACAAGCATGATTTGATCGTACAGGTGTTGCTCTCTTGTACTGGTGCGGATCGATCCCATTGACGAAAAGACACTACTGTTCAGTCGCGAATGACTCCATCCGCAGTATGAAATGTAATATGGTTTGTGGGTCTTTCCTTTTTCATTCATTCGTCGCTCCTACCCGGACAGGAAGATGCCGCATCCAATTTTCGAAGCCCGTCAAGTGTGTTCCATGCTGTGGATATCATACACGTGTACGATCTGACAAGGATGTAAGGAACGGTAGCTAAAATACCTCTCTTTTCTTCCAGTTTTCCAGCGTCTCTTTCTGTCCTCATTTCCATCTACTGTGCAGTCAAAAGCGGCGAGGCGAAGTGTAAGCCTTCGTATCAAAATGCAATAGCTATTCATACCTCCGAGGTCGAGCCACTTTTGGGGTGAATAAACGTCAAGGTCGCAAAGAACCAACTTGGGGATTTTACCTTTTTCCTTTGATTTTTTCGTTTTGTCAAAAACGCTGCAGGTCAGCTGTAGAATGACAGCACAGGAACTGAAGCATGCGATTACAGCCAACGACCCCGTTTACCAACCTCACAACCAACGAGGAGAGTTCATGGAGATGGGAAATAGGCTGCTGCACAAACTGGAGCTTGTGGGCTTGCTAAGCTTGGTTGTGTTTGCGACAGCAGCAGCAGAATCCAATAGTACTGGAGTTGGTCACAACGATCATGTAGTCGGTGACACCCGCCAAATCACCGCTGCCATTCTCCCCAAGCCGTTCGCTCTACTTTCTGTGATCTGTTCCTATGTCATGATACGAGAGGTATTGGACGATCAAAGATCCGCTCACCATAGTGGATCTCCCATCAAGAGAGTGTTGCTTTCAATGGCCATTGCCGATGTTGTGTTTAGCATCGGGTACTTTCTAGGCACGTGGCCTGGTCCAGCCGACATGCCCAACAGCACCGTCATGAACTATGGCACGGTGGCATCTTGTGAATTTCAGGGATTCATCATTTTACTTGGGTATGTGGCATCTATACTTGGTGGGGCTGCCCTCTCTTTCTACTATTTGCTAGTAGTTCGCTTTGGCAAAAGTGATCCAGATTTGCATCGCATAGAACGTTGGGTTTTGGTAGGTGCTGTGAGAGTAGTTATGCGCTCTCCTTTCTCTTTATTCGGTTTTATCTGACCCGTCTTTTTCTTCGTTAAATTTATTCTCTGCAACAAACTGTCACACAACAGCCCGCGATTTGGATTGTGTCATTAGCGTGGGCCATATACCCCCTACCGTTGGATCTTTACAATTTTGGATTGGAGGTTTGTTTCCTGGAATCTATACCAGAGATTTGCTCTGGAGACGAGTGTATCCGAGGATCCGACACTACAATCCACCTATTTGTGCTTGCTTTGTTGCCATTCTTATCCATGTGCTTGAGTGTGGGAATCATGATTTCAATCTTTGTAAAGGTGCGTCTCTAGTCAGTTAGCACCTTGGGTTGTTTCGTTTCCAAGGGACCAGTCTCTCACAACATTTGCTTTGCTGTTATAACGTACCTGTAGGTGAGGCAAGTCGAGAATATGAGCAGGAAATACGCCGCATCCATACACAACCCAAGCAGTGGTCACCACACGTCAGCTAGATCGTCCATCAACAGCAACACGCAACACAGCCACCATACTCAATCGCAGCGAAACTCCGCAGTAAATCGACAGAAATCGCTTGCTGGTAGGTCAGCCATTGTCGTGATGGATGGACGAATGCACGTGTTTGATGAGCTAAATTGGTCTTGCTTTGCTTGCTACCACAGTTGCCAGACAAGGCATGTTCTATATGCTCGCCTTCTTGGTGACCTACTTCTTTCCCTTTGTTTCCATGTTACAATATGCAATATCTGGAACATGGAATGAAGTCTTTGATGATTTTGCCTATGGAATCTTTGTACCATCTGCTGGTACCCTCAACTTTTTGGTATTTGCACGACTACGAAGCCCCATGAAAACACCCGAAGGTCGGGTCTTGCGAAGCATCTTCTGTTGCACTTATTTGCGATCGATGAGAAACGACAATACTCCAGGAAGAGCCTCGGGACACGGTGGAGCAAGAGGAAGTTCCCAGCATCAAGGGAGAAATGGCCCTGCTGTCTCGGCAATCCAAGAGGAATGCAAGGAGGAAGAGTCTCCACCTCGAGAGGAAACCGACATTGTACCTCCAGAAGAATCAAATTTGCAATACACAGCAGAAGAATCGGATTTGGAGCAAGTGTCGATACTTGATTCACGAAAGGAGTGAAAGAGTTTGTCCGCCAACTCTACCAGTTGGACCTCTATCTATTCTCCCTACGAATTGTCCAACACCAGAAGTTGCTGCCGTGAGCTGATGAGGAGAGCAGATCAGCGTGCCGGCAGTCTCCGCGATTCGATTTGATGGAAAATGAAGCGACAAAAACTCCCTTGCGGAGGTACTTTTCTTGTTTTGCAAGGCTGCCATTTCCAGCTGCCAAACGTGAAAGTTGGAAGCTAGAGTTGGCTCGTGTCTCTCAATACGGCAGTGAAACATCCAAAGTCAGGCTTTGGGGGTTACGAATTGAGCAAATTTCAGTACATGAACGTACAAACGTTTGCCCGGAGAGCTCAGTGCAACAAGGCTGTCACTCGAGTCGAGTCGATGTGGGATGCAATCGAAAAAAAGATTGTCGACGAAAACGATAATCATTAGTGTGTTCGGCACTCAGAGAATCCACTGATGGTCAAATCGCGGTCGTTGTCTTTGGCAACCGGAAGAATGGTTAATACATGTAGTATCGCCACGTGCACTGGGGAAAATAGGCATGACAATGACAGCCTCGTTCACTGCCCTGGCCAAACCACATGTCTGACCAGTTCATCGGTTGCAACCAGTGGCTTCCTATTCCAAGCTGAAAGTGAGAGGTCGCCACACGATTGCTATGCGAACTTCGAACAGGCAAGCTTCTTTTCATCTTCCATTATACATGTATTGATCCAGATAAATTTTTCTGGGGCGTCCCAGTTTGGGCGACTACAGAAGAAAGAGATAGAAGTACTGTACCAGGCCAAGGGTCATTCAGTGGTTCCACCGGTGCATTTCCAGTTTCCCTGTCTACCGGTATCGTTGCAAGTGTTGATCCTTGGAAAGCGACCACAGAATGATCGCTGCACAAACCAAAAGTAAATTTGACTTTCAGTTTATTCCTAATAGGCACCCCTTTACTATCGCTGCAGCCGGCCCTGTACATGCACAATGCACGGTTGACCTTGACGATCAAAGAACATCAACGTGTCTCTGTGACGTTAGATTCAGCTTGCCAATTGTGCCAAATTCTGGAGCCGGTTCTCTTGGCAGAGATCAGCATTGATGCACATTCTAGCTACTAGGTATGGTACCCCCATGCCTTGACTTGCCAAGGATAATCCGGACTGTTTGCTAAACGGCACGTGCATACGGTATACTCACGCACCCCATTCATCCAGCCAATAGAGTTAGGGCCAATCAACTATGCCAACGTTTCCACCCAGAAAGATTTGCAAGCCAAACAAAAGATCCAAGGAGAACGGCAAAACCCAATAGCCGTTTTTAGCAGTACTACATGTATGCATACATGGAAGAGAAGGACGACGCTAAGAGCTGTCCACCATGGCACAGACCTATTATGATGACGTTGGGCGGATGTTTTGCAACAGTCACCGCCGTGGTCTCTGCCATGAATGCTGCATGGATTTCGAAGACATCAATCGGATGGTAGAAGAGGAAGCTGGACTTCGCAAACCCAGAACTGATTTGGAGAAGGCTGCCGAGGATTTCGTCTCCAGTGATGTGGCCTTGAGAAGAATGGAAAGTGAAATGGGCATGGGACCTGGTCATCCTGTCTATGAACAAAATCGGCAGTTTCAACTCGAATTGCTTCAAAAATGGAATTCGCCAGAGAAAACGCCGACGCTCAAGCAGCCAATGAAGCCTTTCGCAAGGCATTGATGAAAGAACACCGTCATGCTGCAGAGCTACGCACCATTGGTCAAGCATGGCAGCGAGAAAACCCAGGTCAACAGGTTATGCAATTTGGTGGACCGGAAACACAACGATTGTACGACCAGTTTGTGGCTCCGCCGCCTCAGCGGGCTGACGATAATAAGCCACGCGCCGATAAATACACGTGTGCGTTTTGTGGCAAAGCCAGCGACAAGAAGATGGCATGTTGCTCCATTTGCAAATTGACATCGTACTGCAGCAGGAACTGTCAAAAAACTGCTTGGAAGGCACACAAGCTCGTTTGCAAGCCCACCGACAAGGAACCCAAAGGCATGAAAACTCTGACGTGGGCACAAGTCGAAGCTCACCAGGGGAGACCCGTTGATGGAAAGACTTTGGAAGTCCGAGTGATGCAAGACGAGTCCATGATGCGTCAAGTATTCCAATGCAAAGATAGGACAGGCCAAATCGAACGGGTGACGGCCTATACGAACAGCCGGCGTATTCCCGGAATGAAACCTGGTGTGATTTTGCGCTGGAAAAATCCTCGTTTTCATTGCTTTATGGATGGCAGCAGAGGAGCCCGAATTGAGGAGGAGGATCTAGCCAATGTTACCGTTGTCACCGAATAAAGTGGAAGTTGAGTGGAAAAAGTACCGGTAGGTTGGTGGGAGAGAAAGCTCCCACTGCATACAGTAGTTATTGCTTTTAAAGTTGATATTTATTTTTGCTCGGTCAAGGCTTTGAGACGTTTACCTAGACACTTTCTCAGGGCCAACAAGGAGCGGTTTGTTCAAATCGATCGCTCGGGAGCCCGGATAGATGACAAAGAGGCCCGAGTTCTACATGTATGCGAATTTTTTGGACTTGGCAGCGGCGGCTTTGTCCTTTTTGCCTGGATGTGCAGATAGCTTAGCCAGCTCATTGGGTCTTCGCTTTTGACAAGATCTTGTCACACACCTCCCAACTCGCCTACGGTACTAGTCTAGCACCAGTATTTCTGCCATTGATTGTCGTGCTTGTGAGTGAGGTAAGACAGAGATAGATACAGTTTCAGCTACCGTAGCTAGTAGACAATGAGTGATCCTGTCTCGCTGGAAGCCGAGTCTGAATCGAAGGATCGAAAGTCTCTTCAGCAGTATCTGAAATCGAAGGGTTTGTCCGCGACGGGTACAACGGCTGTGCTTCGTGCGCGATACGTACAAGCCCGTGGTTCCGAGGTTGCGGGAGTTACGATTGACTTGACGGGTGATGATTCACCAGTCCCAATTAAGAAGAAAGCTCCTCCTGCCAAGAAAAAGGCTCCGCCCGTGGCTGCCAACAAGAAGCGAGCGGCCGCATCCTCAGATGAAAAGCGCTTGAAACGCTATCGCACCACGTGCTCGGGAGCCGTCCGACAGCGCATTCAACGTGCCAAGACGCAGCGTCTGTTTCTGGTCGATCGTCCCCAAGAAGATGACAATGGCCACAAGTTTTGCGTCATGGGATCCACGGGCAACTTGTATTCGGTCAAGATTTCCAAGTTGGTCCATTGTTCTTGTCCCGATCATGCCAAGGGCAATGTCTGCAAACACATTTTATTCGTCATGCTCAAGGTGATTGGATTGCCGGATACGTCTCCTCTGATTTATCAAACGGCGCTATTGACCAGCGAGCTGGAAGAAATCACCCAGCAACTCCAACTGCGCCGGAATTCCGTCGGTCCTCGCGTCATGGCCAATGCCCGTGTCCAAAAGGCATATCAGGAAATGACGTCTCCGGCCGCCAAAACGGATACACCAGCAGCAGTATCCCCAGAAAATGACAGTAATAAGCGACAACAGATCGAAGGAGATTGCGCCATTTGTTTTGATGAAATGGCCTGTAACCAAGACTTGGTCTTTTGTCGGGCCGTCTGTGGCGCCAACTTTCATGCCGCTTGCATGAACCATTGGAAACGGGCCAATAAACATAATACCACCTGTCCCAATTGCCGGTCAGCATGGCAAGAAGAAGAACAAGAAGAAAGTGCCAATACTAAGAGTACCAACGCGGAGGATGGATATGCCAATTTGGGACAGTTGCAAGGACAATCCGTGGAACGGGATACCAGCAGTTACTCGGAATGGTACGCGTACCGCAATTATCGCAATCGACGGGCTGGACGTCGTTAGATAACGTGGTTACCAAATCGAAGACAGGACGAGGAATAGAGTGAAACGGAACATGGATCGAGAAGGGTTGGAGATGCATGATTTGATGTCTGGGATGGTATCCCCAATAACTGGAAATAAAAAGGACTTTGACGCCGTTTGTTTGTTTGAAGCTGTAGCTGTGTCTTCCGACTGTCGTTCTCGTACTGACAGCCCACTGGTAGTCTAATCGTTGGCTCGATTGCCATTCCCAGCCTCCGCGAACAGATTGATAGATAGCTAGCTAGAGGGTCACCGTGGCGATAACGCACCAGCGTGCGAACAAAGCGTTTATGCTGAAGCTAAGGTGTCAACCACGTCCGCAACAGGCCGTCGCACAAGTTGGCTGCTTCTAGTCCCTTTCGGAAGCATCCAACGGAATTGGGACTGTACAAGTACCGGAGTGCAAGTGCTGCCCAAGCAGCGACCGTCGTCAACAAGGCACTCGCTTGGTCCAAGGTTTGTTGCTTTTGGAACTGCATCCTTGCCCGCCTCATGCTGGACTAGTGAGACCAGGGCCAATCTCGTAGCCACACTGAAGCATTTCTTGCTTCTGGAACTCATTGACTTCCACTGCAACGTTGTACAACCGATTCATGGCTCTCAATGCTGGCGACTTGGACAGCAAATTCTCTTGAAATGTCGTATTCTTCCAGATATCTTTGCACCTTCTGGCTTCCAGCAGATTACTGGTTTTGTGAGGCTTTCCAACAACATCTGGATTCAAGGAAGTATCCATGTAAAACACTCGGTGTTTCACCATTTGGTAAAACTCATCGGTCTTATGGAGCAAACCCACAACAGCAAAAGAATTCTTAAGATTGTACGAACTCTGTCGTTCCAAATCATCCATAGAAAGTGTCCCAGCACCCCAAGCACCCATGCAATGCTCCCCGCAAAGATAGAACATGTATGACAAGGCACGATTCTCTACCCATCCGGCTGCTACCTCCAGGTCATCACACTTCACAAATGGTGGGGTGGTAAGGTTCTTTTGTTTGTCCAAGTCCTTGCGTCGATTGTTGCGGTATGGTCCACTCTCAGGGACCACAACTGTATTGTTGCTTAACCAATGCTGTGGATGCCAAAAGAATTTGGATAGTAGCCAGGTGAAGGGTTCTCGCAGGACAGTGACACGGACAACAGGAAGACTGGCTGTAAGACGAGCTGCCTGCATGGGATCATCATGACCCATTACGTGATGGTAGACTTTATCCACCACTGCTTCTTTGGGTTCAAAGCATCGTTTGTAATTTCGTTTCAGGTCGCGGTAGTGATAGGGGCCTTTCTCACAGCGAATTTTGGGGAGTTTCATTTCTCCGCCTACAATCTCCTTGACTTTGTCGGGTACATGCCATTTCTTCACAACTTGAAGATGTCGATCTTCCAATAATTGTGCCACTGATTGGCTCTCTGGGTCTTGTGCCCACAAGGAATGGTTCCACCATTTGACAAGGTAAGAGGTTGGTAACCAATGCAGTTCGCTCCCCAACACATTGTGCCCCATGTAGACCAGATCACAACGAGTCTCGCTGACAGTATCATTGTCATGGTCCATGCAAAACTCAGGCACCTGTTCATTGGGACAGGCAATGGCCGATCCTAGTGGTGTGGTGGCACCACAGAATCCATACCCCTCATACTCAAATTCGCTGTGGAACTGTGGTAGTGATTTGGGCAACCAACTGGGGTAAATCGAAGCCAAGAACTTGCCCTTGTGCATTTGCCCATTCTCATCGTAGACGGGATAATAGTAGTTTGGATCCTCGTGGATACGATGCCATCCACTGCGATTGTAATCCAACGCTGCGGCTGCCATACGAGATCGCACACCACCTCCACCAGCCTGCAGGAATGGTGACATCATCATCAGTTAGATTGGTGCGCAACACAAAAACAAAGAAAAAGACAAATTGCTGTGCTTTTCTTACCTTTCCAATATGAACAAAGATGAAGGGTGTTTCATTCCTCGGTGTACAACCCCACTGACGGATGGATGTGTCATTGCCTGCAGCAAGTTGATTGAAGAATTGTGGGGTAGCTGTGGTTTGCTCTGGTTCACTTTTCACACGAACCTTGTTCAAAACTTGTGGTGGAGGTTTTCGTGTGGTTGGCTGGTTCTTTTTGGATTCCTCTTCAGCTGTTCTTTTTTGTCTGGCCTCTTCAGCCACTGGTGTCAAGACTTTGTCCGGGTCTTGTGCTTGCCCTTGTTGTTTTTCTCCTGTTTTCCCTCCTTCATCTCCTTGCTTGGCTGAAGTACTACTCACTTTCTTAAGAGATGGTTCACTGGTGAGAGTTGGAGTAATCTTGTAGCCACACTGCAGCATTTCTTGCTTCTGGAACTCATTGACTTCCACTGCAACATTGTACAATCGATTCAAGGCTCTCAAAGCTGCGGACCTGGACAACAGCTCTTCCTGGAACGCAGTTTCCTTGTAGACATTTTTGCATCTTTTGGATTCTGGCATAGTGCTGGTTTGGTGTGATTTGCCAACAACATCTGGATTCAAGGAGGTGTCCATGTAAAACACCCGATGCTTCACCATTTCATAAAACTCATCAGTTTTATGAAGCAAACCTACCACAGCAAAAGAATTTCTTAGATTGTAGGCACCTTGTCGTTCCAAATCTTCCATGGAAAGTGTCCCAGTTGCCCAGGCACCCATGCAGTGTTCTCCACATAGGTAGAACAGGTAGGACATGGCACGATTCTCTACCCATCCGGCTGCTTCCTCCAAATCATCACATTTGACAAATGGGGGAGTGACACGCCCTTTTTCTTTGTCTATTCTCTTGCGCTGATTGTTGCTCCCTAGGCCTTTATCTGGGACCACCTCAGTGTTGTTTCGTGACCAATGCTGCGGGTGCCAAAAGAATTTGGAGAGCAGCCATGTAAATGGCTCTCTCAGCACTGTGACTCGCATAAGTGGGAGACTGGCCGTAAGACGAGCTGCCTGCATTGGATCATCATGGCCCATAATGTGATGGTAGACTTTATCCACCACTGCTTCTTTGGGTTGAAAGCATCGTTTGTAATTTCGTCTCAAGTCGCGGTAGTGGTAGGGACCTTTCTCGCAGTTAATCTTTGGAAGTTTTCTTTCTCCACCCACAATCTCCTTGACTTTGTTGGGTACATGCCACTTCTTGACAACCTGAAGATTCCTTTCTTCCAATAATTGTGTCACAAAGTGGCTCTCTCGGTCTTGTCCCCATAGTGAGTGGTTCCACCAATTGACCAGATAGGAGGTTGGCAACCAGTGCATTTCACTCCCCAACACATTGTGCCCCACATAGACCAGATCACAACGAGTCTCACTGACGGTATCATTGTCATAGTCCTTGCAAAACTCAGGGACCTGTTCATTGGGACAGGCAATGGCAGATCCAAGTGGTGTGGTGGCACCACAAAATCCAAATCCCTCATACTGAAACTCACCATGGAACTGTGGCAATGATTGTGGAATCCAACTGGGGTAAGTGGATGACCAGAATTTTCCTTTGTGCATGTCCCCAAACTCATCATAGACAGGATAATAGTAGTTTGGATCTTGATGGGTGCGATGCCATCCAGTGCGGTTGTATTCCAAGGCTGCTGCTGCCATCCGTGATCTAACACCACCTCCACCAGCCTAATAATGAAAGAGAAGTCTTGAAATGGTAAGATTATTGACACAAAACCCAACACAAACTTGGTACTTGACATTTTTCTTACCTTTCCAATGTGCACAAAGATAAAGGGTGTTTCATTCCGGGGGGTGCATCCCCAAGGACGGATGGATGTATCATTGCTGGCGGCCAGTTGATTGAAGAATTGGGGTGTGGGTGTGGCATGTTCCGGTTCACTTTCTACTCCCACCTTGTTGAGGAATTTGGGTGGTCGTTTGCGTGGATTCTTTTTGGCTTCGTCTTGGGCCATTTGTCGTTGTTTGGCCTCTTTTGCCAACATTTCCGGTGTCAAGACCTTGTGCGGGTACAACTTCTGAGATCGTTGTTGTTGTGGTTGTTGTTCCTGTGTTTGTTCACCTTTTGCTTGCTCTTCTTCGTCGTCGCTGTCGTCGCTGTCATCGTCGTCTTGTTCAACTTGCTTGGCTGGTTTTAGTTGTTGTTCTTGTTGCTGTTGTTTCTGCTTGGCTTGAGCCCGGGCCAACATGTCTTGTCGGGGCAACACTTTGGGTGTCTTGAGGTTCCGTGGCTCTTGCTTGTGACTCGTTGTTGTTCGGAGCCGGGAACCGTCCATCATGTCGCAATCGTCCTCTACTACTAGACCGCAATCGTTGTCTCTTCCAAATTTAAGGACGGAATGCATCTGCGACCAGACACAGACCAAAGCAATCAGCGCCATTCCGATCCGCAATCGGTGCGGCGTTGCTGTACCACTCATGGCAGATGAGAACAAGATGGATTTGCTGCTAATCATGGAAACAATTCGTTAGATAGTTGTTGCTACAGTACGAGGAAGGGGTGCCTTGGCGAAACAAGAAAAAATACCGTTTCTTACCAAGCATCCGCAAAGGAGAGAAGAGAGGCAAAACTCTTGCTAGATCTTGGTTAGCATCTGGCAAAAGATTGCTCTGCTCCCTCAATATCTACTGTACTAGTACTGATGAGTATGTATCTCGTTTGGATGCAGATGTTTGACGTTGGCAACATCAACATCGGGAGGTGCGTTTTGGCCAGGTGCTTCATGCTTTGTGGCGTTGGACGGCCTCATCCACACCTTCATCGTCCCGCGAATAAAATGAAGCACGATCGACAGTCATATTCTTCACGAAAAGACTTATTAAACTTAAAAGGGTTAAGTACTCAGTTTGTAGTACCAGTAACCGGTATTCAGAATCCAATGACCTGAGGGACCCTTCTCATTTTTGTGGAAGCTCGCTCGGATCTTCGCCTTTCGAAGCCACAACTCACATTTTAAAAACGGCAAGGTCCTATTATTACTATGTCCTCTACCCAAAGAGACGATGCCAATCATGTGGAAGACGGCAAACAGGAAGATGTAGTGGTTTCCATTGAAGCAGAAGAAAAAGAGGAGCAGTCGAAAGAAGACGTTCAAGAAGAAGAAGAAGAAGAAGAAGAAGAAGAAGAGACTAAGCTGCTTGAAAATGGCCGAGATACCTATTTTCCAGATCCCAGATTGGATGACGCCAGTCTGTTGGAAGTGATTGCCTGGTGGAGCGAATTTACCAGTATCCACGGCGTCTATTACATGTTTGAACGAGGGCATTTTTCAGATTGGCTCTTGTATGCTTGGTCGGCTCTGGTAGTGGCCTGTACTATTTCCTTGATTGCCACCTTGGTGGTCATGATCCAAGAATACAAAGAATTCAAAGTCAATACTTCCCTGACTCCCGTCATTCCAGCATCGCTGCCATTTCCACAAGTGACCGTGTGCAATACCAACATGTTCCAAACATCCCTCATGGATGCCACTGGAATTGAACAGCCAACCGACGAGGAAGAATTTCACGCCATTTCCCAACCACTCCAACAATTTATCCCGTATGCCCTTTTCAATGGATTGCCCATTCCCATTGACGACTTGCAACTCAGCAACGAAACCAATGCCACCAACACTACTGACCGGTGGACCCCCACCATTACCGCCAATGGGCGATGTTTTACCTTTCAAACCAACAAGGAAGTTGTCAAACCGGGGTCTGGTGCGGGATTGCGATTCGGGGCATGGCTCAATCAGTCCAATTACATGGATACCACCGTACAAGCCGGATTGCTCGTGTTTGTCACGCAACCGGGCACGACCACCATTAGCGATCAAACACGACAAGTCCTGGTCCCACCGGGAGCATCGGCATTTCTCGGACTTAGTAGATTGGACGAAGAACGCATCACCGAATGGCCCTGGCAAACCTGTGAGGGAACGACCACCACGGATGTCTGTCGTACCAGTTGTCTCCAAGAATTTTCTCGCGTGTTTTGTGGATGTCGACAGTACGGGGATCCCGACACGACCTTGCCGTATTGCAAAAGTCAAGCTGACGAAAACAACAACAATAAAGAGACCAATGAAACACAGGAACTCTGTATCCTTCAACAATCCGGACTGGAAGATGAGTTTTTAAAAGACAGTTGCGACTGTCCCGTCCCCTGTACCCAGCAACTGTACTCGGTCTCATTTTCCTTTTCGCAACTCTCCCGGAATTTTGCCCAACAACTCGCCCGCGAATTCAATTACACGGACGATGCCATTCCCAACAATCTCGTCGATGTCGTTGTCAATATGAATACCATTCGATACGACTTGATGGAAGAATCCAAAGACAAATCATTCTCCAGTTTGATTTCCGATTTAGGGGGACAAATGGGATTCTTCATGGGAATCTCACTCATTTCCATTGTGGAACTTTTTGGAGAATTGATTGGGTTGAGAATACTGCCACGGTTCTTTTGTGGGGATCGACGATTGTATGGAGTGGGACAACGACGCGATTACACGCAAATGGGGGTTGTGAGGTAGTGGTAGTGTTGTACACGTGTATGCAATACAGTAGGAAGTAGGGTAAACTTAGGAAACACGCAAAGCGGTACTAAAAACTGGCGCCTGTGCCGAGTGCACACACGGAGGAGCATGCATGGATGCAGGTTGTTTCCGTACGGTAGATATTCTACCTACCCTAAACCCCCGATATAAGGTTGTTTATGCGACAAAATGAGTTGTCTACACCTTTCAGTTCGGAGCATTTGTGGGGCCGAGCTTCTTGCCAGGAAAGTGTGGCAAAAGCTGAATTTTTGGCCAGGGACATGGGGAATTCAACACTTCAACTGTTGAATTGGGTCAAAAGTGTTGAATTTTGATTCAACACCTGTTGAAAAAAATGTTGAATCTAATTCAACACTTGTTGAATTACTGTTGAATAAAGTGTTGAATAATGCACTACTTTAACTAGCAAACTGTTGAATTACTGTTGAACAAAGTGTTGAATATGAACAAAGTGTTGAATATATTCAACACTGTGTTGAATAATTGTCAACAGTTTTTTCAACAGTTTTGAAATTCAACACTGTTGAAAAATGAAATCCAGCTGAAAATTCAACACTTTTCATCGCCAATTCAACTTTTGCCACACTTTCCTGTCAAAGTTGGATCCAATGCGTGGGTAGGGTAACTTCGGTGCCGGTACGAAGGAGTATCCACGTTTCGACAGATTCCACCGATTTGCAATCTTGATAGCTGTTGCAAACAGGTGATGTACCGGTACTAGTACCACCATGGTATGCGTCTCATTGAAAATATATCGACGTGTGATTGACATACATACTCTCTATGTTTCGATCACTGTTTTTTCTTTAATATGCACCAACGGTCGGCTCCCTTGCCAATCAAAAACCAATCATGCTGTCCTGCTCGGTTGTCTGAAGGAAGTATTTTCGGTGGTTCCATAATCCGCTCGATCCTGCCTACTTTCCTTCTTTGATTGACATCCTGAAAGACCATGGTGCAAGTGGCGGCGCCGGTGTTCGACGAAATCTCGTACCTTGTTGACGGCATCCAGGAGGCTGCAAGAAACGTCAACGGCTTTTCGGAGGAGTCAGCCATATTGGCTTCGCGATGCAAGAAGCTCAGCGCATTCGTTTTAAGGTTGAAGTCGACTCCATCCGGGAATAACTTCACAGGTTACCTCGAAAAGTTGGCGGAGGCTTTCGAAGCGGCGGAAGCCTTTCTCTGTGACCAAGAATTTCAAACCATCTATCATCAGAACACAGTCTCCAAGGTCAAGAACTTCAAGCGGAGCTTTGATGCCATTCACAACGGGATCACTCGGGCTGCGAATAGTCTTGTCTTGGCTGTCAACACAGAGCTCCCTCTGCATGAAGGAGATGATCCCGCAGACCCTGACATTGACAAGTCTGACCGTACCAAACTGTTTCCACCGTCCATCGAGGAAACTGCCCCCAGTAAAGACTCGATTCGGATGATTCCATTTTTCATGTTGCACTTCGAGGATCCAGCAGATCCTTCAGCCTTTGTAGACCTGGACTTTTCAAAGGTTCCACCTGCGGAAAATCCGTTCTGGATGGAGTCTTCTGCGTCGTGTACTGCTAGTAGCGCCAGCCGCAAAGATCGAAAGGCCTACTATGAACGGCTCATTGCTGTGCGAGCAATCGACCAAGCTGCCCGAGTGACAGAAATCCGTGTTGTTCTGGCCAATCTTGACCCAGGTGATACCACTTTTCCGGTCCACGCAGCAAAAACGGTGCTTACAGTTTCTGGGGTTGTCACCGGTGGTATTGTCGGAGCCATTAATGGTCTGGTGTCGATGGTGAAGACTGGCAGTGTATCCAAGGGCTTTGACAGCGCCAAACAAACCGCTACGAGTGCTGTTTCCGTTTGTCGAAACAGCTTCCTTCACTGGCTGATGGAAATCGATCTCCAGGATGGAAGTACCTGCACTCTAGAACGCTGCGCCGACGATGTTTACTTGTACGAAGGCAAGAGCTCTCGACAGAACCAGCACTGCGTCTTCAAAATACCAGTCAACAACAGTTTTGCAGAATACTCAATGCGACAGCTGATTAGGTTCCGCAACAAGCAGCGGAAGGTGCCTTACAACTTGCATGGAAACAACTGCGTTCACTTTGTGTTCAACTTTGTGGACTGCGTTGCGCCGGGAATTGTCAAGCTTCAGCAGGAAGGGGGGTTGGAGCAGTCGCAAAGGTGGCTAGAGCCACGACGACGGAATCAATTTCGTCTATGGGCTCAACATCTTTACCTCTGCAGCCGAACAGAAACTCTTGGCCGTGGTTCCAACGTTCCATTTCTTGGATTCATTTCCCCCGAGACACTGTGACGAGACAGCTACGGTGGCGCGTGCCTGGGCAAAAATCGTATTGTACAGGTATCTCGCTACCGCGTGGCAACGAAATCCAACGATATTGGTGGAAAACGATTCAATGCTTGTAGGCTCTCCCGACAGATATGATGTTCTCGCAGAGAAATGGATGATATTGCCTATATCCACTTGACTACTAGTAATCACCATCCATAGTGGTAGTATCTTGTTGAAACAAGTTGGTGGTTGTCGTATTTCCCATTTCCTCCTCTTCTTGTAATATGGCCTCCTTTTGCCGTTTCCGTTCTTGCTGCCGTTGTTCCAATTCCTGCTGTGGATTGTGTCGTACCAGTTGAAATTTGTGTCCCTCAAAGGTTCGTTCGTCGTATCCAGCCCATTCGGAAAAGTGATGGAGAACCACGGCCAAACAGGCGTGAATGTCCAGCAATGGTGGTCGATAGGGTCCATTGTTATTCTCAGTAGTACATGTAGTAGCAGAGCAAGTAATGGATTGGTGTGGCACGTGGACAAAAAAGTCACAGACTTGTGCCAAGGAAGCGGGCAATCCACCTCGTGTAGATTTGCAAATGACAAAGCAATGAAGGGCGGCGGATGGGTCAAAGGGACGAGATCCAATGGGGTAGGATTGTTGTGGTTGTTGTTGGTTGGATGCTGAGTGTTGGATGGTAAGGTTCTGTCCCCGGTTGGGATAGTAAATGGCTTGGTCTTCTCCCTTGTGGTTCTTCGCGTTCCCCTTGACTACATTAAAGACCAAACTATTAGTGTTTTCTTTAGCAGTTGTAGTAGACGATGACACCCCCAATCCCCCCATGATTCCAATGACCGAAACACTTGCTCTTTGTTGTCTCAAACTGGCAATGGCTTGCTGGACAGTGGCAAATGCCACCATATCGACGTGTTTGGAGGCACCATGGGAGCCTTCGACACTGCATTGGGCGTATCCCACGGCGAGTACAGTGCGAATGCCATAGGCTGCCGCGCAGCGCAACATGGGACCCAGATTGTTGGATTTCTTGGGATTCTCCAACAAGAGAAAGGCTTGTCTAAGTGGTGGCTGTTGTGGCTGTTGCTGTTGGTCTGACATTTTGCTACAGTATCGAGATGGGTGACTGATGAGAGAGTGGAGCGAGAGGAGTGTTTGGGTGGTGTTTGGGTCCACCGATCAAGTGGTCGCTGGTACCAGTACCGGAGGCTCATTTTTCATTAGTGTTAGAGCTGAAAAGATCCCCGACTGAATATCTTTCAAGTGGCATCAGATTTGGTCTCAACGCTCAATGAACCAGCCTGTTGGAAGTATCTTTTGATCTATTGGATTCGACGTTATTACCTCTTGTACCGGTACCTGGTAGTGTTTGGTGCATGGTTTCGGGTCCAGCCAGATACCCCATTGTTCTCATAAACCCAAGAAGAAGAAGAAGAAAGAAACAAGAAAGAAAGACCAAAACAAACACATCATACCACCACCATCATCATGGGCAAGAAGCGGGCTGCCGCTTCTCCTCCTCCTAGGAATGGCGGAACGCCGTCCAAACGCCGTCCTCCTCAGGCGTCTCCCTTGAAGGAACAGCTGGTCAAGTTCGAAATGAAGTTTGCCGAGAACGAGGTCGTCGTGGCATTGAGCGACAAGGAGAATGCCGACGACCCCAAGGAAAAGTTTTGGATTGGAAGGCTCGTGGAGGATGTCTTGTTGGGAGACAAGAACGAAGAAAATGTCAAGATTCGATGGTTTGAATATGAAGAGGAAGAGGAGGACGAAGAAAAGAAGGAAGAAGACGAAGCAAAGAAGGAAGGCGAAGAAAAGAAGGATCAACCCAAGCCCAAGAAGGACGAGATTGTGGTGCTGGAAGAAGATCAGGAAGACGACGACGAGGAGGATGAAGATGATGACGTGGATGGGTTTCCCAAAGATCCCGATCCCACCTACGACACGACACCAATTGGATCTCTGGTCTGTTCGGTGACAAGTCTCTTGATCCGACAAAAGGGAGCTGTGGACGAACCCACCCGTTGGACTGTTCCTCCCACTGCGTATGACTATGCCAATAAAAAGCTCCAGCAACAACTGGAAGACAGCTACGATTCCGAAAATGACAGTCAGTTTGGAGACCAGGCCGTCGAGAAACGATTGGCGCAAGCACACAAAATCAATCACAAATATATGCAAAAACACAAAAAACAACAACAAATCAAAAAGGGTGGCAAGAAAACAAAAGACGAGGATGATGATGATGACGACGACGGCGACGGCAAAAAGAAGAAGGGCAAGAAAAAGGGTGGCAAAAAGAAATCCAAAAAGGCCGGAAAGCGTGGATTGACGCCGCGAGACTATATCGCCCCCGTTCCCAATCCCTTTACCGACCGAAAGACGGGAAAGCTGGAAACCTTTTCGGGGGATATCGAACGCACCGGCAAGGAAATTATTCGGGCGGTCCTCTCCAAAGATCACAAGGCACTCAAGATGGCCGTAGTGGACGCCACTGACAAGGTCCCCACAGCTGTTCACGTGGGACTATCGGTAGGCTGTCCCTTTACGGGGCTCATGTATGCCATGGTCACGGGAAACATTCCGGCCGTCAAGATCTTATTGGATGACTTGAAACCACCCGAAGACAAGAACAAACCCAAACCATCTCGCGCGTACCCTCAGAGCTGTGCCTTGCCCACGTTGAGTACGGGAAAACAAACCTCCCGCCATGCCAATTACAATCGCCGCGCCATTAATGCCTCACGGGGTGGTCGCGAAGGAAACAATGCCTTGTTGCACGATGCCAATGGCGCTGTCTACAAGCATCTGGGAGCCGCGATCAGTGAATCTCAATTGCCCTACTACGCATTCAAACCCATGCCCGACTCGCCCCACTATTGTTTCATGCGTGATTTTGATGAAATCCCCAGTGAGGTATTGGATTTGGCCGAGGCCACCTACTCGAGGAGTTATATGGGGCCGCAGCTGGATGCTATGATGAAAGCAGGACACCTTCACCTTGTACATCGCACATTGGTCAAACTAACCAGTCACGCCTTTGGTTCCAACTCCTTTAACTTTTTGCATGTGGAGTGTCTGACAACCACCACTCATGACGACGCACCGGAAGAAGAAGAGGAGGAAAGCAACAATCGACGCGGCCGCAAAAAGGCTACCAAAAAGAAGAAAGCTCCCACAAAAAAGGCCAAAAAGAAAGAAGAGGAGAAGAAAGAAGAGAAGAAGGCGCTCTTTTCCAAACCAGTCTTGGCCCGGTCAGTCGTCAAAAAGAGCGACACGGATTTGCGCTTTTCTCCCTTGGCGTGTGCCTGCATCAATCCCAACACGGCTTACTTGGAAAAACTGTTGGAAGTGGCACCCGAACATGCCGACGTGTTAGACCAAAAGAACACCACATTGCTTCATTATGCGGCGGCTTGCCAAGGTTCTGGTCCGGTGGAGTTTCTCTTGTCCAACTTCCCACAACAATCACCACGAATGGCACTGGATAAATCCAAAGAGATGCCGCTCCACTGGGCCGCACGGGCTGCAAGACCGGACAACGTCCGTGCCTTGTTGAACGGTCAGTCCGAGGATGATATCAAAACCTTGTTGAACGCCAAGACAGCAGAAGGAATGGCACCGTTGCATTATGCCGCCCAAACTAGGCGCAAACAAAACTTAGAAACGGTCCGGGCGCTCCTGGAAGCGGGGGCCGATGCCAACCTGCCCAGCAGCGCTGCAAGGAACAAAGTCAGCCCGGTCCACATCGCGGCACGAATGGGAGATTTGCCAATACTCAAGTTGCTGTTGGAGCACAAGGGAAACCCGAGCAAGGGAGACAAGTTGGGAAGATCCCCGCTGGTACACGCCTGCATGAATGGACAAACTCACATTGTAGCGTATCTGCTGGGTGAAGTGGGGGTGGATCCAGAAGTTCCAGATTCCAGTGATAATCGTCCCATGCATTACGCTGCTGCCTATGGTTGGAGCGACTGCGTCAAGCTACTCTTGACAAAGAATCCAGACAAAGAAGCAGAGGAGCCTCGTGTCGACAAGGATGGTGACACGACTATGAAAGATGGTGACGACCCGCCGGCCACTGTGCCCCCCGCGTTCACCTCTATTGCCAACCCCGATCCAAAGAATTCGTGGAAGACGACGGCGCTTGCCGTCGCCATCCAAAAGGGACGACAAGAGGTTGCTTCTCTCCTTTTGGGTTTACCGGCTGTAGGTAAGATCAGGGTGGATTCTTCTTTTGTTCTTGTTCCGGTTCGGTGGCCTCAACGTTCCGGCGTGTGCAGATATCAACTACCCAGATGGAGAGACCGGGAAGACCCTTTTTCTACGTCTGGTGGAAGTGTTTATGCAGAAAACCTTTCTTGCCAAACAACCCTCGCCTTTTGACCACGAAGGAGATGACGAACAATCCCAAGCCTTGAGCAAGGAAATGCCCTGGGCGTTGCGGAAGCTCTTTGACAGGACCGACCTGGACGTGTCGGTGACGTCTCCGGACACTGGCTACAATGTGCTCCATCTCCTTTGCTCACAAGAATATCCGGGAACTAGCGGTGAAGAGCGCGCTGTGGTGCTGGCAAAGATGGTGCTTTCAAGGATTTCAGCGAGAGCTGACGGCAAAGATAGAATTGACGTCGACGCCCGAGACAAGGAAGGAATGACTCCGTTGTTGCTAGCTTCTGCAAAAGGAAACCCAAGGCTACTAGAGTTCTTGATCAGCAAACGCGCCAGTGTCAAAGCTGATGTCGTGGACAAACAAGGTAGGAATATTTGCCACCATTTGTTGGGTCAAAGAGCGCACTCTAAAGAGTGCGAAAAGCAGCTGGCTCTTGTCGAAAAGAATGCTGGTGGTGAGGCCGAATATTTGAAACTTCTTGAATTAGCCGACAACGAGGGATACACACCCGCACACATGGCAATGAAAACACTGTGTTCGGGCTTGGCGGATGAAGCATTCGATCGTGGCCATGCTCTTGTCAAGGCCATCTGCTCGCGCTTTCCAGTTCTGGTGCGTGTCCGTGTCGGCCCAACGAAGCAGTTCACCGATCCCGCGGTGCTTGCCAATATCCTGACTGAGGCTGCGGAGGACAGTGCTGGTAATGCTGCTTACAACAACAGGCGGGCGAGGAACTGCGGTCGCATAACCCTGAGCGGTGCCGATCGAGTGGACGCAAACAAAATTCAAGAGGCTCTGAAGTCGATCGACAGCATCGTTCCCGTGGATTGTGAAGATGCAGGAAAGACACTGCTACATCTCGCATGTGAGTCGTCCAACCCTGACAGGATCAACGAGATGCTGGAGTGGTTGCTTTCCTCGGCACCGGGAAATGTGAAGCTTACTGCTGGTCCCACAAACCATGCGCGCTTGACTCCTGTTCAGTATCTTGTCAGGGAGAAACTCACGGCTGGAGGCTTTAGCCGTTCCAAACCACTCCAGAACGCAAAGGAAGAACACAAGGCCTTGATTTCGTCGCTTTTGGATGGCGTTGCCGCTCTGCTTGCTGCCTCGGGAGGGTCGATAAGCGTCAATGACATGCCTCCCTTGGATGAACGTGAGGCATCATCGTTCAAGTACGACGCCGAAAAAGACACGGAATCTGTCGGAGACTTAAGACGCCTTGCAACTGCTTTCCAAGCTGACTCAAGCAGTGAGAACGGAAAGAAGCTGGTGAAGGCGTTCCAGGAATTGATGCAATCCCGTGCACAGCGAGCTCTCACAGACCAACCCAGTCGTTCCTCTTTGCCGGTTGCTGTTCTCCTAGCCAAGGCGGGGACGAGCGTCGTACTGCTGGAGGCTTGGGATCGTCTTATCGGCGAATTCAAATTGGAATTGAACAGCCCAACAGAAAGGGACACAGCCCTACTTGTGTCTCTTCACAAGAAGGACATGAGTCTTTGTGGTTACCTCTGTGAACGCTGCCCTGATCTGGTCCTTGCTCCAAACCACAAGACAATGGAGTGTCCTGTGCACGTTGTGGCCAAGATGGACGACCCTGAGTATGTTAAGTTGATCTTGGGCCATATCAAATCAGAGAAAGCAATCAATCAAGCTCGCGACAGGTTCGGTCGCACTGCATTGCACTTGAGCGTTGCAAAAGCAGCACGCCGCCAAGGTGAAGCCTTGGACCCTTGTGAGCTCCTCTTCTTGAAGGCCGGGGCTCGGGTGGACACCAAGGATGCGAGACAGCGGACCCCGCTTCATTACTGCTTCCTGGATTCTTCCGGCGGTGATGACTATTTTAACTTCCCCCACTCGCTCCCCCGGGAAAGCCACGATCGAATCGATCTTGTAAGCTCTCTTTTGGGGGCGGTGGCTGCGCTTCAATCTAAAGAAGGGGGTAGTGTGAAAGCCATCGTGGATCAACCTGATCGACGTGGGCGGACAGCCCTTTTCTATGCCGCAGCCTTCAACTCCACCGTGTCAAGTCTTCTTCTTTGTAACCATGGAGCCGATCTTTTCCTTGAAGATCAAGACAAGAATACTCCGGTGAACGTTGCGGTTCTCCGGGGTCATGCGAACTTTTGCATCGCATTGCTAAAGAGCAGAGGTGCCGCAAGCAACCTCCCTGACCTGGTTGATGTCGTTGACGTTCAGCGCGAGAAAACACAGAATGAGAAAGGAAGAAGCGTCATAAAGGTCAAGTCCAGAGCAAGCAATTCCATTGTGTGGCATGCAATCAAAAAAGGCTTTCGAGGTCTAGTCTACATACTGCTTGACTCATTTCCTCTCTCCCAGGCAGTTGTCGATGCGATTGATAACGGGGCATTCCAGCTTGTTCGCAAGCTGTTGACGACAAGCCCGCCACAGGTGGTCCAATACGTGAATCCAGACAATGGTCGAACGCTTCTTCATGAAGTTGCCGATGTACCACAATATCAGAACCCTGAGTGGGGTCTGACGATGGCGAATCTGATGCTGGAAAGCGGAGTTCTTCCGGCGGCGGTGACGAAGGAAGGGCAGACAAGTTTGCATATTTCTGCTTTTCGTGGACATGTCAGACTGACAGAGTTGCTGGCGACAAAGGATGTTTCGGTGGTGAGTGTACAAGACTCCGAGGGACACTATCCTCTGGGAAGCTTCATGCGGGCCTTGCCTCGTCTGAGCCTCTCTGGTGGGGACTGTTCCAAGATGCTGGATTATCTTACTAGGTCTAAAGATATGAGTCTGGGAGACCCCGAGGTCAACCGGGTGCCACGATCAAAGGATGACGTGACCAAGATAGAGTACCATGGAATGAGCTTTCATCCTGGCCCGAACCTTGAAACCGTCAAGGCTGAAATGTCCAAGAGAAATCGGGGTGGTGATGATGGATCAGGCGCACAGCCTGATGTGAAGCATTTCTCAACGCTTCTTGTTCAAGCTGTTCGTACACAAAGATTGGGCTTGGCGCAAGAACTGATCAACAAAGGAGCCAAGGTGGATCTACCAGACTCCGATGGCTTGGCCCCAATCCATCACGCAGTGTTGAGCGTGTCAATTCCCGCCGCGGCATTGTTGCTGCGCAACGGGTCGAACCCAAATGTCACAACCGAAGATGACCGCGCATTGACTCCGCTCATGCTTGCTACCTTTGCTCAAAGTGGAGAACATGCGAATGGTCGTGACTACGAAGACGCCTTTGAAGTAGCAAAGATGTTGCTGCGTTTTGGGGCCCTTGTTCTCCCAGCTTGTCAGCAAACGGGGAGCACAGCGCTTCACTTTGCAGTTCGCGAGAACAACGGTAGAATGGTTGAACTGCTATTGCGTGCGTCGCTGTATCCACCAGAAAGAGAAAGCACAGAGGGATCGGTAGAGGTGAAGAAGGGACCGTGCTTGGTGCGATTTGGTGGTGAATCGGCGCTGTATCCCGCAGAGATTGATGGCGACATTGTCAAGGCGTTTGGACCATCAATGAAGTCTGAGCTCCCGCGACGGCTTGTTTCCGAAAGCTTTGATCACAGCGACCTAACACTGGACTCATTGGACGGTCTGGTCAGGCTTCTCCGTGAGAAGAAAGGCATAAAACAAAAGTCGAGCAGCCACGTTCCTGGTGACAAACCCCGTCCGCCTGGTGGCAAATTTCTTCGGCCGCCTTCATCTGATGATGATGATGATGACGATGATGACGATGATTTGTTCGGAGATTCAGATTCGGATGACGAATTGCTTGCTGCTGGCAATGCCGGTGCGGGCGGTGTGCTCGTTCGATGCCCAAAACAGCACCCGGCATCGCGTCATCTGACGAGACATGCCAACTTCAATTGCGACTTGTGCGGGAAAAAATTGGAGAAGGGTCGCCCGATGTACGGGTGCAGACGTTGTGACTGGGACGCCTGCTTGGAGTGTGCTGCTGAAGGGTCCGAAAAAGCAGAGCTCGCCGAATACTATGGGCTGGAGTCTCTCATAGTCGGCGCAACAGACAAGAACCTTACAGCGACAATACCAAAGGGAGAAAAAGTCATCGTGCAGCCCAAGGAAGGTGCTAGGCGAACGTATGCCAATGCCAAGGAACCATGGTTGGAGGGTACAGTTGTCGCAGTGCATGAAAACGGCAGCTACGACATTGATCTGATTCGGGGCGAAACATTCAAAGATGTGCTTCGACAACAAATTCGGCATTGGAAGGCTCAGAACAACTCTAGTCCGAGCTTTGATGGAGCAGTGAAGGAGGTATTGTCCGTCAGGGACAAAGGAGGCTTTACGTGTATCCAGGCGGCAGTCAAAGCATTCGAGTTCGGATCATTTGAATCCATCGAATTGGTGGAGCTCCTGATCAAGTATGGTGCTACGGTTGAGGCTGACGCGATAGCATTGACTCGGCCTGGCTCCTCGTTCAGAGCCCAACTGATTGCAAAGATGAAGGATTCTTCATCAGTAATGGACGAAGACGAACCAGCCCAAGAAATGAAAAAAGCCTCTGCCCTCCACGGTCTTGAACCAATCCCGAAAGCTGTGTTTGAAGAACAAGCAAAGGCAGCCTTGATATCTCTGGAGTCAAAGGGAATGATGAAGCGCAGAGAGCGCTCCGCAAAGATCAACAAAGTTTGTCAGGTGAAAGCGGTGGGGTTGCACGTCTTGCCTGTGGTCGTGGGTGCTGTTGGTGATTCGGTTGACGCTGATGTTCTGACCAAGAAGCCAAAGTTTTATGATGTTACGATGGTTGCTGTGGAAGTGACTCATCATTATCACTCGGAAAACAAGTACTACAAAATGCAGATTCTTCAAGACCCAATGAAAGATCTGTTCGTCTTGCTCACGAACTGGGGCCAGGTTGGAGACGGTGGAGGACAGAAGCAAGGTAAGCACGAAAACGAGTTTGTGTTTCCCAACGATATGCTTCGATTTACTTACGAAAATCGCTCGGTTTGACCCAGAAACTCCGATGGGTACCGGACAAGAAGCGGTGAAAGAGTTCGAGAAAATCTTCAAGGCAAAATCTGGAAACCTGTTTGAAGACTGTGGTACGGACAGATTCCATCCAGTTCTTGGAAAGTACAAACCCATCAATCTACTTGCGTCTGACTATGAGAAACCCGAGGTTCCTGATATTTCCCGCATGGTCGCCGATGCCAAAGATTTCCCAGAGGTCGTGCGCAAGTCTTCTTTGCCTCCTGCTTTGTCGGAAACAATTGTGACGTTTGTGGACCCAAGCGCAATTGCAGGCGCGGCGAAGTCACTCGGATACAACCAGGACAGTCTCCCTTTGGGAAGATTGTCGATAGAAAGCATACTTGAGGCTGAAACGAAGCTGGATGATGTGGAAGCAGCTCTAAATGAAGCCAAGAAATTCACCAAACCGGAAGAACTTGGGGAACGTCGGGCTGCTCTAGAGAGAGTCGCCATTTTGTCGAGCCAGTTGTATGAATTAATCCCTACGCGAGAGGGCGACCAAGCCCTGCGGCCTCTGGATGAAAACTCCTTGAAGAGGGCAAGAGCGGACTTGTTCTCTCTGAAAGACCTCACCACAGCGTCACAAATTGTGAATACTGCTTGTGTTGAAGCCACAAAAGTAAACCCTCTGGACTATGCCTACCGAGCATTGAACTCGAACATTGATATCCTTGATTCGGGATCCACAAGGACTGGCATTGAGCAGTTCTTTCGCAATACTTGCGAAAACGATGACCATGTCATCAATGAAGTGTTTGCGGTCGATCGAATGGACGAACCCAGCAACGCAAAATTGGAGAATCATCGCCTGTTGTGGCATGGAACTTCCGCTTCCAATATGATGGGAATTCTCAAGGAGGGGCTGCGGGTCGCTCCGCCATCCGCCCAAGTGACTGGAGCGGCATTCGGAGAAGGGGTCTACCTGGCTGATATGGCGTCGAAGTCATTTGCCTATTGCAGGGCCGATTTTCGCGCTGATGCAAAGAAAAAGCCAAGAGCGTACCTCCTACTCGCGGACGTTGCGCTTGGCAAGCAAGAGCGCGTCACTTCGTCTGTGTATGACACAGGTGAAGAGTACAGCAAGGGCGACACAGTCATGGCTGTCGGATACGAAGGTCCGCGCACGGAACAAGACGTCACTTTTGTCAGCACCGGCGCAGTCATCCCTCTGGGCAAGTCGATGAGAAACCCAAAATTCAAACCAAGAGCCAAATGGATGATATCCAACCGTAGAGAAGCTAGCAAAGAAGCATCCTCAGCCATCGAAACAGCACGCAATTCTCGTTCGACGAAGTTCCCAGCCTCGGGTGAGTGGGGCTGCTGTTCTGCCTAGCCGTGATCGATCGCCGTTTTCGTTACTTGTTCTCACTAATCCTTGTGTTGTCCTGCTGCATGTCCCCAGTACGAATGGAGTATGAGTCAAAATCATGGGAGGTCCAGCTGGATCATGGCCCCTACGCCCCGAAAGCAAAGGCTGTGCCTGTCGCCAAAAAGAGAGCGGCGGAGCAGTCAGGAGGAGCTCAAAAGAAACAAAAAGGACCAGATGGGCAAACGATTGACAGCGGAACAGGAACGTGGCACTATTGGTTGGATGCGCCGATGGATGGTCGGCAAAGAGGCTGGCATTTGTACGATTCTAGCGCTTCCGAGAAACTAGAAGGCTTCCTTCAGAACAAGGGAAAGCAACTCTCGCGGACAACTTGGCATCTGCAATCGGGCTATTTCTCTTACGAAGTGGACATCGAAAACATGACCCAACGCAACATGAAGACAGGAACTGTCCGACCAATCCGGCGCGCATTGCCAGGCGAAGTCGTGTCAATGACACAACCCCCAATCTACATACCGCCTAAGAATTCGGGCATTACCAACCAAGGCGACGTGGCTGCAAACGGTCTTGATGATAGCGACGACAGTGACGAGGAGGAGAAAGCAACCGGCAAAAATGAGCCGAAACCGTTGGAACTATTTCGACAGGAAGAGAACCTCAGGAATTGTATCCACTTCAACGAGTATATCGTCAACGACACGAATCGAATCAACATCAAGTACATCGTGGAGGTGACTAGCAAAGCCTGGTTGAAGAGGAACCTGAAAGAAGAGGCCGAGAGGTTAAAACAGCAGCAGGCCGAGGAGGTCGTCAATGGCGATGATGATGATGACGACGGCGACGACTTCAAACCGGCAGGTCCACGAAAGATATCAGAAAAACCCAAGGAACATGATATGGTGAAGGTGACTCACGGCCCAGACGAAGGCATTGAGGGCGAGTTGGTTTGCATCGACGGTGCCGATGCCATCATCAAGGATACGAACGATGACTTCAAGATCGTGGACTATGCCTGCCTTGGAGTGTTGACCGGCCCCTCTCCCCCTGGAGGTGGTCAAGCTCTTCGAGTGACTGCTCTTCGGCGACCCCAACTCTCCTCTGACTCCGACGACGAAGATCTCGATGACAGCGATTGAGAAGAAAGGATCCAACCAGCCACACCCTGAGAAAGCATGAAGACGACGATTTCCACCTTTTTAGTAATATTGAAAAGTTGGGTTGGGTGGCACTGGCGAGGAACCTTTAAACCCCCGTTTATCTAAACGCTCTGGTAGCTAGAATGTAGAATCCTGACTGCGTGTCTGCCAGGCGATGTCAAGAAGAACAACTGCATGTTTTGTGTGGTAGGGTTCAGCCAATTTTTTAATACAGAATATTTATATATGTTGTATTCTACACTGCGAGCAAATAGATGATGCCACCAAGAAAGGCACCAAAACCCAGACTGATGCTTTGGGCTCCACTGGCCGTACCACGCAACGACATGTCGGAAGCTTCATCCTTGGCATCTTCGGTGTCTTTACTAGACTTGTCGACGGCGGCAAGGCCCTCAGTCTCGTTGTACGTCATTCCAGGGTCGACCACACGGATTTCCCAACCAAGGTTGCGGTGCGTCACACACTGATAATACAGCAAGTCCGGAGTGTCGGCGTCTGGAGTGAACTCGAGAACTGCAGCATTGTCAGTAATGGAGGCATCTTCAAGGCAAGAAGTGTCCATGGAGTTGAAAAACTCCTCGTATGTTCCATTGACAAGAGCCTGTTGTGTTGCCTCGGTTGCTTCGAGCTTGCAGATCGGTCCAGCGGCTGTGGCCTCGTAGGTAGTATTGCTAATGACAGTCAAACCACCAAAGATGTCTTCCGCCATGCGTTCCTCCTCGTTGATCTGAGCGTAGCCGCCCGATATGCTCGTTGTCAAATACATGGGATGGTAGTTGGCACTATCCGTGGGAACGTCGCCTCCATTGACATAGAAAGTGTATGTTGTCCCCCGTTCCATTTCAATGACTGGAATCAAGAGGTCGTTGATGTACCAGGCGATTCCCCAGCCAACTCGACCTCCTGTGATCGCTTGGTAGCCGCGGTCGCCGCCCGAGAGGCCAATCGAGGCCCGTAACTCGGTTTCTCCTCTCAACACGGGCCGCTCAAATGCTTCGACATCGTCCATACCGTCATCAACTTGGACCAAAGGTTCGCAGTTGTCCACGGTGGCGCGTCCAAATTCAAGGCTAACATCCTCTCGAGGGTATGCAACCGTGTGGAAGTTGGGGAACCCTGTATCGGCACTCACAGGACCAACAGCCCACGCAATGTAGGTGCTCACGCCAGGGACGACAGAAATGTTGCGATCAACTGTGGCCCCGGACACGAGAGCGTTGTCTGTGGCCAAGAGAGGTCGGCGGTATCGAATGACTGTAAGGCCCGCAACGTCGTCCCTGGCTCCGCTGACGTCTGTTGCGCTGCTATCAAAGGTTGGCGAGTCCGGGCAAACACCTGCGCCGTTGCTGCATTGAGCACGAGCACTCATGTAGTAGTCGCTGGCTCTAAACTCATTTTGGAAGAGGTCGCCGACAATGACATCAGCGCCAATCATCTCGGTGCCCTCATCACTTCCAGAGATACCAAAGGACAAATACTGTTCATCTTCGATCAAACCAACCAATTCAATGGCGATCTCGTCTCCGTCGACCTTCCAGCGCACTTGGTAATCTTCATACAGTGGCTCGCAGTTGTATCCCTCCGGAGTAACGGAAACATCTTCATAGGCCGCATCTCCACCTCCGCCACCGCCTTCAGAACATTGCAGGGCTGGGCCTTGCTCAGCTGTCTTGAGACCATCCAGTGCCTCAGGGACCATGACTTGTCCGAAGTTAGCACTGAAAGCTCGGCACCAGACTGAGATGCTACCACCGGCAATGTCACGAAGGCTTGTTCCCTCTGGAAACTCAACACGGTAGGTCTGGGTGCCATCAGCAAACCCGAGCTTATCTTGTCCGCAGCCGTTGGTAGGTTCAGCATCAGACAAGATAAATCCATCGCGAGAAGCGTCAGCATTGGTGTCAGCCCAGAAAAAGGCATCCGGGGCGGTCCCATCATAGGCAAAGCCACGGACTTCCAAGACACGATCCGAGAGGGCAACAATCTCACCAGCCACATCATGGTTGCTGCGAGTAAAGGTGCCCAAGACAATTTCATCCACGGTGGCTGGAGCGCCGGACTGAGAACACTCCAGTGCAGGGCCATCAGCGGCATCCGTCAATCCAGTCAGGTCCGAAGGGATCACGAGTTCTCCAAAATTGGCTCTGAAAGCACGGCACCAGACGGAGATGCTACCACCAGCGATGTCCCGAAGACTTGAACCCTCCGGAAACTCAACTCGGTATGTCTGACTTCCATCCGCAAATCCGAGCCGATCTTGTCCACAATTGTTGGAGGGTGCTCCATCCTCCAAGATGAAGCCATTCTCAGAAGGCACGGCATTGGTGTCAGCCCAGAAGAAAGCATCAGGCGCTGTTCCATCATAGCCAAAGCCGCGGACTTCCAAGACACGGTCAGAAAGAGCCACCACTTCACCAGTAATATCATGGGCGCGGTCCGTGAAGGTTCCGAGAACCAGCTCGGCGGAAGCTGACTGTGCCGAAAGACTCGCAATGAGAGCCATCCAGGGGACGGAGTTGAAGATCTTCATGGTCGATTCGTTGTTTGTGTTTGTGTTTTTGCTTGTTGTTTTTGTTTTTGCTTTTGCTTTTGAAGTTCTGCTTCGAAAGATTGTGATTGCTTCAGTTGGTTTTGCTGCTGTGGTACCTCGGTCCGATCTCGCTTCGATCTCGCTTGGGATCTTTTAGTCGATCTTTTAGTCCTTCAGAGGACTAAAAGATCCCAAGGAGCGAATCAAAGCCTTCTCGGGCACCAAAGCAAAGTGTTCGATGCTGCTCGAGTTCGAGTGACAGCTTGGAGCGTGAAACTTGGATCCAGAACCTTGGATCTTGGATCGCTGAAGCAGGATTCAAGTGGCTTGAGAAAGATTTGTGGGCAGTTGGGATTTGGTCTTGGTGTGAGTTGGTCTCGGCCAAGAAGAAAAAAGAAGGGGGGGAGGAGGTTGGCGTCTAAATGTCAATAGAATACTTTCTTCTATCGGCATACGCCTCCACGTGGAATATTTCGCATTCCCACCTCTATATCCACCGCCTTCTTTAGTGTCGTTTTCTTAGCTTAAAGTGTACTTCGAAAAGCACAGCCTCCCACCAATCCCAAATTTCTTTATTTAGCAATCGAAATTTCGATCATTCAATCGAAATTTCGATCCCCTAACCCTAGGCGTAACGTACAATCGGAACCAAACCAATCCAATGCTATCGAAAGTGTATTACACCGGAGTAAGAGTTCATTTTCCACCATGGCCACTCGACGCAAACCAAAGCAGATATCAGAGGCGCAATGGAAGTTTGTGGTGAGAACAAGAGATGCTATTAACAACGATCCAAAAGGATTCTTCCAACCTCCACGCGATTGGACCCGTGTAGTTCCAACTAAGGGAGGTCGATTCAACAGCTTGTTGTTGGACCAACGTGGAAAGAAGAGCACCGTCGAACAGTCAGTGTTATTC